GTGAATCACTCATTATACATGACCATTCACGCCCCCTCGCATATTCCTTTTCTACACAAAAAGTGTCTTAGAAAATTTAAATCAATATATTGTTTTCTGTGAGTGAGTAAACAAGATGATTTTCACATCATTCTGATGAAAAAATTCTAGACTTCAAGATCTGTTCTCAATAGTCCTGTGAACAAATGTTCTGTATGTGTTTTATGGCCTTATTTCAGTGACTTTAAAATTTTAGTTTTTCACTAAGCACGCATAAACGTTGTTTTCTCAAAAACACAATCACATACATACATGCTGCTCACATATTATTGTAGCCCAGTTTGTGCTGATTATGGTGCTACTAAACTTAGTCATTAAAATGTTTATTAGCAACTGAAAAAAGCACAAATGTCAGGACATGTCAAAACTTCTCCAGGGCCCAAAACACCCTCAGACCCCAGAGGGTTAAATTGATCAAGATCTCAGCAGAGGAGGATTAAACAGCTCCAAAAACAACATCACCAGCTTCTTATTACTAACCAGTGTGACTTTATTTCTGTCATATGTGTACAAAAGATCTTATTGAGATTTTAGGTGTTGTACTTTTATTTGAAGTCACCACAATGGCGATTAGTGTTTGCTTTAGTTAGGCTCTTGAACCTTGACTTTTAAAAAAATAGTTTTTTTTGGTTGCTTAAATTAGCTGTTTATTTAGCGCAGTTTTTATAGCAAGAAAAGCCAAAAGAATCTATGATAAGATCAAACTGGTGTTTGTGACGTCAAGACCATCATGAACTAGTCTGATGCACTGATCTCACCTAATGTTTAATCTCTTATTAAGTGTGTAACATATAACTAATACTCTTTATCTGCACCACTGATACTACCGCAATCACTGTGAAACTTTCCTAAGCACAATATGCACAAATAAAAGCTTTGAACTATTGCAGAACTTAAACACACACAGACATCAACAGTCAGCCTATGAATCTCAAGATTGGTGACAATCAAAAAAAAATGTCTTGCTGCAATGCATGTTGGGAGTTTTGTACTGGCACCCAGCATGCATTGCGGCATGATTTTTTTTTTTATTAATAATAGTCACCATTGTTGAGATTCATGTGCTGATACTTGATGTCTGTGTGTGTCTAAATGGTACAGTAGCTCTAAAGGTTTTGTGCATAAAATGTTTTTACATTTCTTAACAACAGTTTGTCAACATATCTTATAGAGTTATATTAGTACCATAAACAAAAAAAAATGTATCGACCCATATTATTAGACACTAATTGAGATCAGTGAATCAGATCATGAGATGACGATTTCATCATCATTAATAGTTATCAAAACCACTTAATTACAGTTTCTCTCGGCTCTTCTTGTCATAACAAATGTGCTTTACATACACAGATACAACAGCAGAGAAAAACTAACATTAAATATTCAAGGGTCAAGAGCCCAATTAAAGCAACCACTGATCGCCAATATGGTGAGGTCAAACAAAACATTTTCAATACAATATAAACCTCAGTTAATTCTCAAATAATTTTTGTAGATATATGACAGAAATAAAGTGAGTCTGGTTAGTAATGAGTGAAGCTGGTAATGCTGTTTGTGGAGTTGTGTAATCCTCCTCTGCTGTTTTATCTCGGTTAATTTCATCTAAGGCTGTGACTGGAAGTTGGTAGTTTTGTTTCTTGTTCTTTCCTTCAGTGATTCTGCTTGTTAACAGCAGCTGTTCATCAGTGTCTGAATTCACTCATTTGTTTTCAATCACTCGGTCTAGTGGACTATATAGTAAACTAATGTAGGGAATAGTGAATGAGGGTGTAGGGTGTGATTTCATACACCGTCTATGAGTGTTGACTCTAAGGCTACTTTCTCGAAAACAAAGGTTAGATCTATTACAATTATTCACCATATATTGTAAGGAAACTTACTGTAAATGATTTAACAGGTTTTTACTGTGGCATTTCTACAGTCTTTTACCATTAAAATCATGATAATTTTTTACAGTGTAGGTTTTACATATTATCTATCGATCCTGATCTTTTAGAAATTAATTTATTTTTCATTTAATCAAACCATGCTATTCTTAGATATTAAACCACATCGTTCCATGAGGAACATATGTATAGCATGCAGCATAATGGCATAAAACTTTATTGTATATAATAATCACAGTGCAAAACATGAGATGGATATAGGCATGTTTTATCTGCTACAGATCCTATACAGTATATTCTCTAAAAAAAAATAAAACCATGTGTATATGTATGTTATTATTTAAGTCAGGTTTTAAGACCAAGTTTCATTTTTGTCCAAGATGAGGTTTAAATCCAGATTTCAGAAGCCATGAGCCATGGTTTTAAAGACCCCATGAAATCAAAACAGTTTTTTTTTAGCTAATGTCTAATAATTTTAATACCATATAGTTACAGTATATGTGTAAATTAATGGCTATTGATATGTCCCAAGGAAACTTACTGTAAATGATTTAACAGGTTTTTACTGTGGCATTTCTACAGTCTTTTACCGTTAAAATCACGATAATTTTTTACAGTGTAGGTTTTACATATTATCTATCGATCCTGATCTTTTAGAAATTAATTAATTTTTCATTTAATCAAACCATGCTATTCTTAGATATTAAACCACATCGTTCCATGAGGAACATATGTATAGCATGCAGCATAATGGCATAAAACTTTATTGTATATAATAATCACAGTGCAAAACATGAGATGGATATATGCATGTTTTATCTGCTACAGATCCTATACAGTATATTCTCTAAAAAAAATAAAACCATGTGTATATGTATGTTATGATTTAAGTCAGGTTTTAAGACCAAGTTTCATTTTTGTCCAAGATGAGGTTTAAATCCAGATTTCAGAAGCCATGAGCCATGGTTTTAAAGACCCCATGAAATCAAAACAGTTTTTTTTTAGCTAATGTCTAATAATTTTAATACCATATAGTTACAGTATATGTGTAAATTAATGGCTATTGATATGTCCCACTGCACCTTTTTGTTTCAATCAGATATATGTCTAAAAAAAAGCATTTCAGGGGGTGTTTAAAGATTAAGATTATTAGGCTGTGGGTTACAGGAAGTGATGCAATGAGATCAAACAAAGCTACAATGATCTCAAATAACAGAAAAGGCTTCAGGGAAATAAAACGTCAGAGCGCAGAGCCAAGATAGCAGGGATAAATGAGCGATGGACAGATGATGACAGAAGACAAGAGAAAGACAAGTACTTACTTCCCTGTTTATCCGAATCTAAGAGATCCCAGACACAGAGAAAGAGGGATGGGTGAAAGAAGAGAGAAAGAGAAACAGGATAATTAAGATGATTAGAGAAAAGAGGAAAGAAATAAAGTCGTCAGAAGTGAAATTCTCCGTCCTGCAGTGAAGAAAATCACTTCAAATTACAGTTCAGGGTTGCCATGCATTGTCCGAGAAAAATCCTCAAAAAGTCTATTGTTCAGCTCGTTAGTGTTTAAAAATGTGTTTTAGCAGCACAGTTAATAACCTAGCATAAAAAATAATTTTGCCACTTACTACATCATATTTCATAGAGACTAGGAGTGGGAATTTTAGGCAGTTTGCAGATTTATTAATTTTTTTAAACTTCAGGGAGTCAGTCAAATTTGAAAACTATTCTTAATGCTTATACATTTTTAGAAGCATAAGGGTGACATTATTTCACCAGTTAAGTAGTCTTTCATTAAATTATGCGCAAAGGACCCACATAAAAAGATGTCTACTATGCAGTGAAATGCAATTCCACATTCAATTTTGTCGTTGTCATTTAACATGTACTGTTTTCTGTAGCCAAAAAAAACAATACACTTTAGAATGATTAAGACTTTTTTTTTTTTGCTTTCAAAACATAGATTTGCCAAAAACAGTAGCCTACATTAAATATTGCTTTAGTACATTTCTGTAGCAATCTTTTGGTGAACATGCTAAATTTCATGAAGTCTCGTTTCCAATATTGTCTTATTTTGGTGTGTGAATCCATTTAACTTGCATCACAACCACAATAGTGACTCGCATTCAAGAATCAAAAAGCCAATTCACTGTTTTCATTAATCACATGGGGACTTGATTCTTAAATGTGAATCACTATAGAGGAGGAAAGAAAATCAAGACATCTTTTTTTTATATATATAGGTGAAGTGACACGGCTTTACATTTTAGTATCATACCTCTATAACCCCTAACCCTCTATAATCAGACCCCATTTCTCATCACGCATATCCTGCACCTCAAGTACAGCCCAAGCAGAAAGAGTAATTTTTTTGAAAGCGCTGATCATAACAACAGCTCCTGAGAGGCTTCAGCCTTGAACAGAATTGAATGCTACTCAAACCTATAATAAAAACCTGTAGAGCCGTAAAAACAAATTGACAAAACACCTAACAGTTAGTCTTAAGATCTTTCGAGTTCTTCACACTGCGGAGGTTTTGATTGCTCAATTGCACTGGATAACCCATCCCACCAAAAGATGGCAAAAATGGATTTACTGAGATCCCAGCAGAGATACTTAGAAAACTGATGCTTCTTATGTGCGACAGGAACGTATGTTTGAAAGCCGCTATCTATCAAACGGTTAGGATTAAGAGCAAAGTGTTCAGAATCTGCCTGACAGGAAAGTGTCGCACGTCTAAGATTTGTGCTAACAAATCTTTCTGGGAAAAGAAAAGGCACGTCTGCACTAAAATCAGACGTTTGACAGGTTGTTAGGGAGGCAGGACAATGCAGTCTCGCATGGGAGTGTAACGAATAGCTCAAATACTGAAATCAAAAAAAGGTTCACGTCAAAACAAGAAAGCGACAGCAAAGTCGTCAGTGGACAGCTCTCTCAGTGAGAAAAGGCATTTCCATATAAGCCATATAAACGTGTTAATATGTACACTGAAAGCTAGAGTGAGAGAAACACCTCTTACTCGAAGGAAACATGTCCAGTGACGGAGGTGTGAACAAAGAAGTGTAAAACAGAAAAACTTACATCGATGTAGTTTGCATTGACATAGTCTGAGTTAGGATCGGCCAGGAGAGAATGCATTTTCACACGGTGACGGTCTTCTGTTAGGGATTAAAAATTAAGAACAATGCAAGTCAGGGATGATAATAATAACCAGTGTTGGGGAAAGTTACCTTTAAAAGTAATGCATTACAATATTGCGTTACTTCCTAAAAAAAGTAACTAATTACGTTACTTAGTTACTTTTTATTGAAAGTAATGCGTTACGTTACTTCTGCACTACTTCTTAAATCTGGGCTGGGCTTGCTTGTTTGCTTTTAAAATAAAAAGTTCTATTTTTGGCAAATGTAAAAGCCCTTTCACACCAAAAGCCTCAGGCTGAAGGAAATGTCAATTCACGTGAATCACATCCGTACAGTAGAACGCAGAAGAAGAAAGTTCAACACTCTTCAGCAATAAAAAATAAGAAGAAATGTTAGTTTATCTTCTGTAATTTTTGCTTGTTAGTACGGTTGAATTGGATCATCGAAGGTCAGCAGCAAATTGGTTAATAAAATGAGATTAAATACATAAAGGATATTTGTATTGTTTAACATATTTAATCATTGCAGCTTTGAGTCATATTCTGAGTTGCTTTTAACTGTTTTTATTAATTTTGAGAAAAACTAAATCTGATTTTTTTTTTGTGAACGAGTAAGTGAGATGAATTAATGCATGTTCACATTTATTCTAGAACTAAAGTAATATATTACTCCTGATTTCTCTCAACAAGGGGACATGAGAGCGTTCAATAAATGGAAAAAAAGGTAACTGCCGTTACTTATTTGAAAAGTAACTCCGATATTTTCTTGTAAATTAAAAAGTAATGCGTTACTTTACTAGTTACTTAACAAAAGTAATCTGATTACGTAACTCGCGTTACTTGTAATGCGTTACCCCCAACACTGGTAATAACAACTTTAGGATGAATAATTAAATAATAATAAATATTGAATAAAGCTCCATTCTAAATCCTGTGATAGCTGTGGTCTATTTTTAAATACATTTAATTAAACTGACTGATGTACCCAGTATTTGTGTTTGGTTTACACAAATACTGGGTACAACAGTACACATACATACACACACATATTAGAGTAAGAGTATTATTAGTACATTAGAGTATTATCTTTGCAACGTGTGCTGTAACTATAACATTAAACTATTGTATAATCCTTATTTTTGAATAATACTTACGACCCAGAAGGGTGTCGTGTCGGCTCTTGGTCTTGTCCTTTTCGTTTATGTCCCAGCCGTCGAAAAAACTCTGCAGGTACACAAGCAGAAATATAGAAATGTTTGTATGTGCTGGACATATAATCATATATGCTAACATTCAAGAAGGAATTAGTACGTACATTAAATCTATCGAAAGTGACATTAGAGTATTTTATAATGTTACACAAGATTTCTATTTCAAATGCATTTAGTTCTTCTTAACTTTCTTCTGAATTTCGCAAATGATTCTAAAAAAAAGTAGCAAGGTTTCCATACACATATGAAGCAGCACAACTATTTTCAATATAGGCAAATATCATAAATGTTTCTTGAGCAGCAAGACATTTACATAATTCATATAGTGAAGCTGGTAAAATAACAGACAACCAATGCAAATAAATGAAGCTATCAGTGTGCAAATCATTCTTAATGAATCCCTCCCATGCTTTTTCTTTGGGGTCTTGTGCAGCACACTTCATTGTGAGATTGCAGCATATATAGCTTTGCATCCTAGTCACCTTTGCAGGCACTGTTTATTTATTTTGAATGAGAAAATAACACATTTATCTTGCTCTCATGAAATAAAAGCATTGTAATTGCTCTCTGTCAAACTCAAGAAACGCATGTAGCTGATAGTTTTGTGTGTGCATGTACGCACTGAACCCTGCCTGTGTACTCCAGCTGTCTAAGTGCTTCCTAATGCCACGTAGTTTTTGCGTTAATGTGTGACAGCTGTTTAGCACACATTCCCCCCGAAAGCAGGTGAAGCGTAACACCTGGCAATTACATCTAAATGACTGTAATTTAAAAAAGACCCCCCAAAATAAGTGCAAGTCACGTTTTCCCACTCATCCATTAAGTCCCCTTCACTCTCGCATTTTATCAAGTCAGACGCAGTTAACCGAGCAGATGCATTCTCAGGATGCTGATGTTAATTTCCTGTTGGGCACTTTTTTTCAGGAGTGTGTGAGAGTTTTACTTTGTTCTAAAACCAAAATTAAAGTGAGCGAAAGTGTAATTATGAATATATTGTAATTCATTCTAGAAATTAATCGCTGAAATATACCATTACAGATTCAACTTATACTTACAGTAATTATATTTACAGTAAAAAGTAAAAATATTTCATTAATTGAATAATGGTAATATATCAAATTTACTTTTTTTCATCTTTATAATATACTGACAAAAACCTTAAAAACACAGGTGACACATAGCAATGCTAGGGGTCACGCAATACAAGTAAGGCGAGTTATGCAATCAGATTGCTTTTTTTCAAGTAACTAGTAAAGTAATGAACGTTACTTTTTCCCCATTTATTCACTGACTCCTCTCTGTCGCCATGTTGAGAGTGCAGGAGCATATACCTTTTTGCTTTTTTTGTTTTGTTATTAAACAACAAACAAACAAGCAAGCCCAGAGAACAAAATATAGAACAAAAGCCCAACACAAAAGTAACGCAAGTAATGCAATTAGTTAATTTTTATTGAGTAATGCAATATTGTACTGTATTATGCTTATAAGTAACTTTCCCCAACACTGGTAAAGTGAATTAAATAGCTTTTCCAAAGCTTAAATTATTGTTTAAAATAGTAAATATAGAAGGTGCACAGTGTCAGACAAACAAATACAAAACACCATCATGGTACTAAAATAACGCAATAAACAATTAACAACATGCAGTAAGATGTAGCACACAACCCTAATGTGCATAATTGATATGGGGGGGGGGGGCAGTATATCAGTGAAAAATTATTACATGTGAGCTGTCATACAGAGAATTCTGGGAATGTCAATTTACAGAATTTCACTGCATATTAATATATGAGTTTTTCACTCCGAAAAACTGTATTTTACTGTAAAATTACAAGGAATTTCCCATTCAATTCATTACAGCTTTTCAATGTAGAGTAAGGGGAACTTGTCACTCATTATTTACATTTATTTTAATTTTTTCTTATTTTTTTTAATTAAATTTTTTGGGGGGATGAAACAATATCAGGAGATTTCAAACAGTTCAGTACTGTACAGATTGAGAGTGATTAGTTGACATGACTATGAAGATTGAAACCGACAAAGTAAATTCATCTATTTTAATAAACTGAATGCACAAAAAAGAGGGGTTTATATTTATCATCAGTAAATCAGATTTATGATGATATCTAAATTTGTGATTTATGCCGTTTATTTAAATGTGATCTAAAATCCTAATTTCTCTTGAGGATTTCTCCCCTAACACGTCACAGCTGCAGCTATAAAGAAGTCAGTCACTTCAGTTTCTGATCATTCTGTTGCATGTGTACATATTACAGAATACACATCACTATACAATCTACCTATTTCAATCTTATTTCTCAGGGAGACACTGCTTTAACTGAGGTCATGCAACAGGGATACACAATGTAAAAATGACCATGAACTTAACAGTAAATGACTGTTAAATGGTTAACGGTACGTTCCCCTACTATTTACGGTGAAAAATTGTATTGGACATTACATGCAATTTTAAGGTAGTATACCAACTTTGTTCTAAAACCAAAATTAAAGTGAGAGAAAGTGTAATTATGAATATATTGTAATTCATTCTAGAAATTAATCGCTGAAATATACCATTACAGATTCAACTTATACTTACAGTAATTATATTTACAGTAAAAAGTAAAAATATTTCATTAATTGAATAACGGGGGGATGAAACAATATCAGGAGATTTCAAACAGTTCAGTACTGTACAGATTGAGAGTGATTAGTTGACATGACTATGAAGATTGAAACCGAAAAAGTAAATTAATCTATTTTAATAAACTGAATGCACAAAAAAGAGGGGTTTATATTTATCATCAGTAAATCAGATTTATGATGATATCTAAATTTGTGATTTATGCCGTTTATTTAAATGTGATCTAAAATCCTAATTTCTCCTGAGGATTTCTCCCCTAACACGTCACAGCTGCAGCTATAAAGAAGTCAGTCACTTCAGTTTCTGATCATTCTGTTGCATGTGTACATATTACAGAATACACATCACTATACAATCTACCTATTTCAATCTTATTTCTCAGGGAGACACTGCTTTAACTGAGGTCATGCAACAGGGATACACAATGTAAAAATGACCATGAACTTAACGGTAAATGACTGTTAAATGGTTAACGGTACGTTCCCCTACTATTTACGGTGAAAAATTGTATTGGACATTACATGCAATTTTAAGGTAGTATACCATTTTTGGAAGTGAAAAAAGAACATATAATTTACAGTGAATAACCGTAAACTGACATTCCCAGAATTCCCTGTGTTTCATTTCAAATTAAATTTTTTTTTTTTTTTTTTAAATAACTGTAGCGTCTGCGTAGGATCATGCTGGAGTGTTGGACTGTTTATGGCTTAAAAGACCCTTTTAGCCTTTTGACATTTGCATATAAATTACAGTTCTGGTCAGAGATGTTACTTGTATAGGGGTTGTAAATTGCCAAATGGTTCTTCGCCGTCAAAGAAGATTAGAACCAGCCCCCACGAGCATCCTGCAATCAGAGTTCAAACGCAACAGGGATACACAATGTAAAAATGACCATGAACTTAACAGTAAATGACTGTTAAATGGTTAACGGTACGTTCCCCTACTATTTACGGTGAAAAACTGTTTTTTTTTTTTTTCAATTTTAAGGTAGTATACCATTTTTGGAAGTGGAAAAAGAACATATAATTTACAGTGAATAACCGTAAATTGACATTCCCAGAATTCCCTGTGTTACATTTCAAATTAGATTTTTTTTTTTTTTTTAAATAACTATGTTTCTTAGTTGTTGTTTTTTTCTTACTAGTTGTGTACATATGGTTGTATGTTACATCTAATGTTGTTCAATTAATGTTTATTGCATTATTTCAGTTTCATGTGTGTTAACATGATGGTGTTTAGTAGATTTCAGTACTTTAATAGGTTGGAATATTAACATTATATGAGTTAATGAAACTACGGTTTTCAAATGTAAAATTTAAGTTAAATCCTTAAAACCCAAAATGCTGCTACCGTATTTTCTATGGTAAAAATCTGGCAACCACAGCTGCATTTTTTTTTTTTACCGTAAACTTATTTTTACTGTATTTTTTATACAGTGCAGTGTTAATAAAGCTGTGCCAGTGTCTGTTTGGATTGCACACTATTGTGGGAAGCCTTTGAAACAAGCAGTGACCGGGGTACAAGGGCTCTTCAATAATGTGTGTGTCCTGTTGGCTGTTCTGGACCCGTAGATTGCTGTATCAGAGCACCAGATAATGCGCTGTAGCTGTTTCTTTGAACAATCATTAGCAGAGCCAAACAATGACTGAAGACACGATTACACTTTCAGTGTTGCACCTGCAGAACTGTACTATATCTGAGGATGTTCATGCATTGATGTGCTTTCTGACAGACTGAATGTTTTCATCTGAGAGTGTTTGAGATGAGAATTAGACCAAACTGACTGGTTTCCTCAAATCAATTTCAACAGCCTTAGTGCTGCTGATGTCAAGACGGACAATTTCCCTTTATAAATAGACCAATGACAGAGGTAACTTCTGCAAACTTCTGTAGTTTGACTAAGAAATCACTAGAAGTGCAGTGAAAGGAGACCATACACATCTTTGCTGTGCAGTTGCGCTAATGGTTTGGCATTTGGAAAGAGCAGAACGTACTGCTTCTGATTTGTCAGGAAGACATTCATGTCCAAGAGTTTGGTCATTAATAGATCTAGGGTGATCTTGTTTATAAAACCCTGAGCTAAAGTTCATAAACTATTCTGTGTGCCTCTTAGATCCAGATGTTGTAGGACAAAATGTAAGGCAATTTCATTTTCACAGTATTATCTAGAGCAGTGTTCACCAGACTCGTTCCTGGAGGGCCGGTGTCCTGCAGAGTTTAGATCCTACTTGCCTCAACCCACCTGTCTGGAAGCTTCAAGAATACCTTGTAAGAGCTTGATTAGCTGGTTCAGGTGTGTTTGGGTTAGGGTTGGAGCTACACTCTGCAGGACACTGGCCCTCCAGGACTGAGTCTGGTGACCCCTGATC